AACAAGTAGTGCAGTATATATATTTAAACTATATTTTAAATTTTCAATAAATTTACCCTACCTTTCGTACAGCAAAATATTATTAAGAAACGTAAGTAATCAGTACATTTCCTTAACCCTAACTAATTTTTGAATTAAAGCTGATGCATCTTCTGAATCCCTGTAGACTTGTGAATTATGAGTAATAAAGTGTTGGGTTGAAATGTGTAATTATTCCATCGCTTTAAATTCTCTGACACTGCTTCCTCTACACTTGGTTTCAGTCTATTTTCAAAACCATCAGACAGAGGTTGGTCCATCAGTGAAAATGTTGTTCGACACTTATTTGATACGTCTTGTTTTTAAACATTTTTTGATACATCTCATTACGTATTGTAATTGAAAATTAGATAAATGTCTGATGTAAGATGATGTAGTAGACTATAATGGATGTCAGCGTACTTCAGATAAAGAAAGAGAGAAAAAAGAGGGTTGGAATAGTTACGTTTCAACCAAACTCAAGTTCCAGTAGTTATATTTTTGCAAGATTCAAATGATATTCCTACATCCAAAACAACATTCCACTAACTTGATACATCACTACACATCAATGTGTCTGAAGCACTCCCCTGACCTACACCTAATTTTAAATGATTTCGAGCACAAACAACTGAAATTCAGTAACTTTTGTCTTGTAAAATTATTGAACGTAAGTATTTAAAAGTAGTACTATTATGGTTTCCTTATATGAATAATCAAGTCATGCCAATGCTTAAATTGAAACTTTTTTTATCTTTAACAATTACACTACCTGTGTACACAACACCGTTTCGTAAAAGGTACATTCATATCCATATAGTCTGCCATAGAATGTCATAAAAGCATAACTTCATAGTTAAGGAACCTAAGCACCTACTGTCCACTGATTTCCAATTTTTTCATTAATTCTTAAAGGGAAACTTTTATAGCCTTGTATTGGAAATCTAATCGTGAGTAAAACTGGCTGATGCAACACAAAAAGTGTCCATCCAGTTCTTGGAGGCAAGAAGAGAGCGAGGCTCAGAAGTCTCTCTCTTTTTCTTTTGCTTGTGCACAACGGTGCGCCGCTGTTACTACATATATATATCCTCTCTTTATACCTACTGCTGCATGGTAAAAATCGTCACGTGGCTGTAATACAGGCTAAGCTAGGCCTCTGTTATATCTTAGATACTATTAGGTAAATAATGCCTGACATAAAAGGTCGCTTGATCTCTTCGGTATCCTCAAAAAACATTTTTAAAATTGTTCTTTTTTTTTTTATTTATCCTTTTATTCATGTATGTGTACGTAAATAAACGTGCACAAAGTATTACATATGTACAACGTGACAACCTAACCTTTAAAAACCAGAAAAAACGCTGTATCTTAAAAGTGAAGTAAAATTTGCTAAGAATAACAAGTTTGACAGGTTTTTCTACAGAGGAGCAACATGATTGAGGCCCCTAAATAGAGAGAGGTTGGACTATGCACGAACATGACCTCAATTTTCTTGTTTTTTGACTGTATCTTAAAAAGAACGAGTGAAAAAATTTTTCTTTTGTATACCATGTTTAGAAAATAAAAATTAACCTTTATAAAATCTTTGAAAAAATTTTGTTACAAAATAACGTCTCCACATTAAACAAACAGTCGCATCTTAAAGTGGAAGCCAGGTAGGACAAAAATAATTTCATGTACAGAAAATAAGTATTAAGGTGCAATAATATGTATTACATAACGAATTTATACAAGCAATTGTAAAAATTCTTAAAATAATAAGTTATATCTTAAAAGATAAGCTAAATGTAACCTATCGTACGAGCAGTATTTCTTACTGTCCAAAGATTTGCTTTTACCTACTCACCAATTAAAATAAGTAACAACTGCGGTTGGTTTAACATTAGCTTAAAAGGCCTTTTTAATTTTAAATCCCTACAATATGAGAAAACAAATCATATGATGCTACATGATTTGAGCAGCAAGCAAACGAGCAATGAATTTTTTACATTCGTAGATTTTGGTTGTGACTGTAGAAGGGGTGTTGATGATGTTTATTTTATACTTATTTTTAACCCCTTACTTTATTTATAAGAAATGTACGGTTTCTTAACCAGGGTTCAAACTGTCGTCCTTCTGCAGTTTTCGTATCTAAGTCTTACATCTTAGCAAACTAAGGTTTAACTATTTCTTGTTATAGTCGAATATTGTTGTTGATATCCCATAGACTTGAAAAATGTTCGTTTTGTTTTATTTTAAACATTGTGAGATGCTTTATGTTTATGATAATCAAAAATTATTTAACAATTTTTACACAGGGAAACATGAGCAAAGTTTGATGCTATTAAAAGATGAAGCCCTTGCTGCTCAAAGTAATTTATCTAAGGCAGAAGTACAGTTAGATAATTTAACGCGTGAAAGACAATTATTACGTGACTCAGAAGGACGTCTATTAAAGGAAAGAGAAGTTCTGAAACGTGAGCGTCATACTCATGCTCTATTAAAGGCTGATGTTGAAGTTATCAAGGCAAGCTTAGAACGCGTGCAGGCAGAAAGTCAGTTACGTACAGAACAGCGGTTAGATGATGCCACTCGTGAATGTGCTGCTCTAAGAAGAAGACTTCAGGAAGAACAAGATCGTTTTAGAGAAGTGTCTCTCAGTGTAGAACAGCAGTTAACTATGATTAAAGAACAATTAACTGAAGAAAAAAATCTTACAAGAAGGATTCAAAACGAGCTTGATGCTTCAAGGTTGAAAGAGCAAGATTACCTCAAGAAAATTGAAGATTTAAATAGTCAACTTAAGCTTGCTATAGCCGCAGTAAAGCCAGTTACAGGTAATTACAGTAATTTTCATTTATTTATGTACAAAACAGTTTTTTTCAAGACATTCATAGTTCAACTCAACATGACACTTTTGTGTCGGTACTCAAGTATGTTAGAGTTTAAATCTTGCCAAAGCCCTGCAAAAGTGCCAATTAAACGTAAATAAGAAATTTTTTTCAACTGGATTTAATACTATTTATGACTCACTTTTTTCCTTGATTTTAAGACAGTAATTCTGGTACAAATGTAATGTAGAGCAGTTTTTGTTTTGGAAACTTACTAGTAAAATTATTACAAAATTGACGTTATTTACAACGTTCAGCAACTAAAACCAGTCATGATTTTATTAAAAAACTTAGTTTCAGCTGCTGTGTCGTTTAGCCTTTGGCAAGTACAAATTGTTAAATATATTGTCTACGAGGTAGTGGATCAATAATATAACACTTGTTAACATTTGAATTAATGCATTTAATAACAGAAATAAAGATTATTTTGGATTATAAAATCTCTTCTCCTTATACTGAGAGAGACTCTACGTAAGCCCGCGTATGTGGTAACGGCCACGTTCTGTCTACCTAACTGTATCACTATACTAAGTACTATAACACGTTAGCCGGAGATTGCAACTAACGTGTATAAGTTAACTGTTGTATGCTATGCAACTATTACGGTAATGTTATTTGGGAAAGGATTGGGTTATCCAGGTATTGTGTAGCGTCGATTGCAGTAACAAGTAGTGCAGTACAGCTACCAAAGTTGAATAGCCTTTTTTACTGAATTAGGAAGCACTCAATAACAATGCAACACTGAGGCACTACTATGTTACAGCTGCAGTCGGCGCTACACTAGACGAGTCATGACACAAGACACATGCGAATATTAACTGCCTATTTATTCATGTAAATAACAACCACTTGAATTACATTTAGGGAGCGGCATACCACAAAGGTGACGATCCCTCCATCATGGCTTGCTGTTACCACCGAAACCGATTATATCTTGGTGTCGTTCACCTTATAACTCGTGATAGGGGACTGGGACTGACTATATTGCATTAAGGTAGGGTAATTAGGGACGACTTCTTTCACGCAACGCTGCGCACAGCACCAACACTAGATGCGTTCACCTACCAAGATATGGCTCTGGGGCAGTGCTTGTTCATGCTACTGGCAATGCTACCAGCGTCGAGGGCACTGGAGAACCTGGGTGACCGTGTGAGGGCTTGCTCGTGTGTGTGTGGCACTAAGGGCTCGGCTTTGCGGTGTGACAGTAACTCGACAGGCGAGAGTTTGCTGATGCCGCGCTGTGCTGCTCCAGTGTTAGCCTCACAGCGAGCTCAAGTGTCTGTCCTTGTCTTGCCGTGCAGGCGCACCGTATGTTATGTGGCCCACCACACACTATCAGCCAACACAGCAACACAGATTGGCCACCATTACTATATTTTGCTCCTGGATTACCGACATACCGATAGATGCCGTTTCCAAATTCATTCCCTTGACCATGAATACACACACATCTCCAGGGTACGGGTAGGAAGTACGGAAGGAGAGTCAGACCGAGCTCTATAGTTACTCTTAATGCTGTGACCTGTGGGCCTGATACTGGGATTTCGTACACTACAGCAAGCCACATGCAGGAGAAAGAGAAAGCTACTTACGAGACTCTCGCCATTTATTGTCGGTGACAATGGTTCCGTGACGTGTTTGGATGTATTTCCAATTCACTGCGTCACAGTACATATACGTATTATCCAGCACTCATAGTGTGTATGCCCCACAATATGTTGTTAGTTACGCATCTAGTATAAATTTACTCATAATTTAACACGCCCCCTTTAAGTTCATATTACAATCTTAATTGGTGTCTCTAAAAAACTACTTGACATTCAACATAGTTCTCAACCTTTCGAACTTATTTCTGCTTAAGACTTTAGTAAAAATATCTGCTATATTTTGTTTTAAAATAACTTTTACAATATCAATTTCGTATTTCGCACAACTTTCGTTTACAAAATAATAATAAGTCTCATTACACTTGAATTTTTTTTATATTTCTATATAAATTACCTACTGAAGTGTTTTTTTCTATTTTTACAGTCACAGTTGATGCTAATACTCGAATAAGTACTTATTCTACCTAAATCTTTTACTTAAAATCTTTTACACTATGTTTTAAAAAAAAAATTCAACCGTTTTTTATTATTATAGCAAATTAAAAAGTAATCTACAAAAAAGATTTGTGTACATTATCATTTTTGTCATTATAGATATATAAGCATCAATCATTTTCGCTTTTTTTAAAATTTAAACTTTTGAAATAAGTGTAAAAACTTTCATACCAAACTTTTGGGCTTCCTTTTAATCCATACAACGCTTTATCTAATTTTAGTACTTTGTTAAAGCCATTTTCATAGCCTTGTGGCTGATTTACACAGACTTCAGATTTGATTTTACCGTTTAAAAACGCTGTTTCAACATCCATTTGTTCAATATTTAGATTATTTTGACAACAATAAAAAAATAAAACTCCTAGAGTTTGCATTCTTGCAGCTGTTAAATAAATATCATCAATTAAATCAGTTTACTGGTATCCTCTTAATTTTAACCTAGCTTCAAAAATATCGTTAGCTTTTTTAGTTTAAACTCATTTTAAATCCTAATTTTTTTTTTAAATTATTTTATTTTTATTTTCAGAAATCCAAGCTTTATTCTTATTCAAATAACCTATTTTTCTATCGATCGCCTTCTTCCAATTTTTAGGTTCATCACTATTCATCACATAATCATAAGACATACAGGGTGTGTCCTGAAAGTAGTAGGACTGATTTTTTCCTACACGCGCGAACGATTGGACGGGAATTTTTGGGTTGCAGGTGGTGGGAGGGGGGGGGACTCTAACGAAGCACTGGAATCGCGCAGCAGTTGGCTCCGAGCTCTTGCGGACTGTGCATCGTAGTTTCCCTGGACCTCTGTCAAGTGACCTCATCACGGTACGTCATGGACCGTTTGATGGAGCAGCGCTACGCAGTGAAATTCTGCGTTAAACCCAGAAAAAGCGGCAAGGAGACCCATACTCATCAAGGCAGCTTACGAGGATAGTGCCATGAGCAGATCAACCGCATTTGAGTGGCATAAGCTTTTTCGAGAGGGGAGAGAAGACGTCGAAGACGCCGAGCGCTCCGGATACCCTGCGACTTCGAAAAACGGATGACAATGTGGCACGAGTAAAAAATTTATTGAACAGTGCCCGTCGAATGAGTGTGAGAATGTTATCGGATGAACTGGGCATGCCTAAAACTTGAGTGCAAGAAATTGTGACTGAAAAACTAGCCATGGAAAAGGTTTGTGTGAAGTTGGTGCCTCGTGTGCTCACAGACCCCCAGACTTCTTTCTCTTCCCCAAGTTCAAGACCCCGTTGAAAAGCCATCACCACGGGTCGGTGAAAGCTCTCCGAAAGGCCGTGACGCGTGTTCTGAAGGACATTCTGGAGTCAGCCTTCCAGGAAGCGTTTGCTCCGTGGAAAACTCGCTGGCAGCATTGTGTTGATGGCCAAAGGGGCTACTTAAAAGATTTTTAAAGTGATGTGAATTTCATTGCGAGCAATAAATATTTTGTTCTCGACTCAGTCCTACTACTTTCAGGACACACCCTGTACGTATCTTAGATTTGGATAATTTACATAAATAATATTACTATGCACAAAATGTTTATCCCTATATCTATCAGGCTTTCTTTTTTCTTAGTTGACTGTCTTTAATTCAAAATTTTATTTTTACCATTGGCATTTGTGTTGAAATTGCTGTTTTTATTTTCATTTAAACTTATTTGTATTATGTCGTCTTCTGATTTTAAACTAATACGATCCGTGCTATTTTTAATTATATTGAGGTATCTAATGACTTCGATTTTATTATTTATTAGAACTGTATAATTAACATTTTTACATCCTAGTAAAATTCTTAAATCTGCTTTTTTGTCCCATTTAAAATTTTTTTTTCTCTGGTATTCTCACATGAAAACAACTTCTATGAATTATTAAATTTTGTATACAAGGCTTTTTCCCAAACATAATTTCAAATGATGTTTTATTTTTTACAGTATTCGTGATAGTTCTACTCTTTAAGTAAGCTGTTGTTTTAACAATTTCTGGCTTAAATCTATTAGAAACCCTTGCTTCTTTTAATAAACACCTTGACATATCTATAATACCATTGTTGTATTATGACGTTCCCTGTAATTTATGTATATAAGGTTGACACGGTTTTATAGATAAGTGTTTTCCTTCTGCAAAATTACTCATATCATTATTATTGTACTCCTTGTCATTATCGTATTCTTCCTTTCATTTTTTTTCTGTCTTTTTTTCATCTAAATTTACATAGTCATTGGAACGATTATTAAATCGATCTTTAGATTTAATGCAATAAACTTTAGCTACTTTACTACATTCATCGATAAAATTCAGAAAATATTTTTTAACAATGAAGCTAGTAGTACTTTGGGGTCCATTTATGTCAGTGTGTACAGTTTTTTTTTTTTTTTTACTAGGTTACCGTAACAGCCTACTGGCCTAGTCGCTGGGGCCACCCACTCACCACCTACGTGTGGGAGTGTATTGCCGCACCTATTTCCAGCCCTTCTACCGATATCATACTTAATCCATTAGCACAGTGCGAGTATCTCCGGTGAAACACCTTGCCAGTTAAGCTAACACTCTCTGCACCAATGGTGCATCGAGTCCACTCGCCACTGTGTAGCCGGATAAGCTGGCGCTCTTTGCCGAAGCATCGGATCCAGGCTAATTAGCATCCCCGGAGAAGCCCCGTGTTTCAGGGGCCACTTTTCGCCAGTAAGGCCGGCGATCCCTGCCCAACGCCTGGCATCGGGTCCGCTAATCCCTACCTATAGCCCTAACACTGTTTCGCATTCACCCAGGCCCGAAAACCTGTGGGGCAAGGAAAAAACCATGGAATTACTCTGAAGGAAAATTCCACGGAAAAACC